AAAAAAACACCTTGTATTTTCACTCTTAAAGTAGAAGTCAATGGGTAGCCGTTACTAGAAACAACCAGTCTTCTGATGTTTGTTAAAGATAAGTCGAAGAGCATATATACACAATAGAAAACATCTTATCTTATGGACTTTGAAGAGCACTCAAAAATCATTGTCACTTGCTGTCGGTTGATACTTCCTTAATTATACCTGACGACTAACACTTGCAGCTGTACTTAAAAATTGAGGTATCACTGTAAACGTTTCTTCAAACAGTTTCTTTGTGGTATCTTTCTCCCCTCCCTCCCACACACACATTTTACAGCAGTGAAGCAGCTGTTGCTGTAAATCTCTCTTCCCCCAAGTAAAACGGATAGAGCTGGCACAGAACAAGGGGTGGTCTTGGAGAAAGGGCTGACCCGTATTCTGGTATTAAATTTTCTAGATTGCCACTTTTTGGAATAGTCAAATATCAACGACAACCTTCTTTTGTTACTGTAGCAACCATTATTGAATTGTTTCAATCGAGATGACTCGAAATTGTTTGTTAAAAAATTGTTCAAAAATAAATCAGTTGCAATAAAATTAATGATGTGTAAAATAAATGCCAAAATTTGTATGAACAAATGAAGAAGTCACTCACTCTTACTAATATTTAAAGCAAAGTCACTAAAGCCGTTGTAATCAGTAACCACGAAAACTACTCAACCGATCTGGCTGAAATTTTGCATACTGATTATTGACACTTCCAAGATGGTTTAAGTATGGTTTTATCTTGGAAAAATTAATAAAAATAGCAATACATAAGCTCAAAAGTTTCCAAAACTACGATATCTTTTCACGTCAGTTCAGTAGGATCCGCTAAATGGCGTAGACATAAAATCGAAGCTACCTGCAATATAATTGAATAAGTGTGGTTATAATAGGCCGGAGCGTCTCAGAGATTTCAATAGTCGTCTACCGGCAGTACATCAAGAATACAGATGTTAGTTGTGCAGCTGTGTATCCCAGCTATCGACGACACTCTTCTCCAAAAGGCAAGCCACCTATGTATAACTCTACACTGAATCACCAGGATTGACGAGTGTCACCAATAAAAAAAATTTTCTAAACGATAACGTTTCCGGCGAAATACCAGGAGACGTGTTTAGCCAGAGCACAACCTGTTTCGAGGCTTCAGATTTTTATGACCGTTTAAGCATCCGTCCTGGTGCCATTAGAGAATTTTTTCCGACAAATGCAAGCCAGGGAAGATAGCCGTGAGTAGTACGGGCAGCCACAACGGCTTCCTTCTCAGTGGACGTCCCAACAGCGTACCCACAAAGAAGGTAATCTCCAGGCCCACTTTCCTAACTAACGATGAGCGGTTGGTTATCCGGAGAATGACCCAAAGACGAGATATTCCATGGTCAGCGGAGTACCTTCCTCTATCACGGTCTCCGTACACAGAGACTTTGAGGGTAAGAGTTAAGCTATCCGCACCCAGTTCTCCATCATCAAGAATAATAATAAGAAATAGCGGGAAGTTTCCCCACTGGCCTTTTTCAGGGCTACTTTAACTATTGACAGTCCCTACGTAACCATCAATCTCATCGGTTCTTTTAAGGACCACCTAAGATCAAACTATTTTGCCAACAAATACATTTTTACTTCCATTTTCGGCAACGATTAATCAAATAAAAGACTATATAAAGTCGGTTACTATTAAACCAAGTCAGTCATTTACTGGCAGACGTCACGAGCGGAGTTGTTCGTCGCAAGGCTGGGAACCCCGGCCACTAACGACTCTACATTACATAACTCTCTTGACTTTGTAAACATTCAACCAGGAATCACCGATTCTCTCCAAGGTCTGCGCTAGGAGAACCTAACAACTATAAAATAAACTTGAGCAAACGGGACAGTCTTCAACTGGCAAGCATCACGAACCAATCTCCCCACCTTAGATTACTAAAACGACTGAGTTCCACAAAAAAAGAAGGTGCCTTAGACATCAACGTTGGGAAAAAGCTGTACAACTAGCTTTAAAGTTTCAAACGTTATAGTTCTTCTCCCGATCAGTGTGGTACTACAATAACAGGCCAGAGATCACCCTGAGGTACTCAGGCAGTTACGTTTGCTAGACACTTCAGTCAAGAAAGAGTTTTAGGGCTCAGAAAAGTCTTAACCATGCCAAAAGTCGCAAGAGGGAGAATTAGAAGGAAAACTTCAAATGCATCTCATGAATACCATTTTAGGCGTCAAGAAACTGACGCAGAACACTTATCTAGATTGAAACAGCAGCATCAAAATCGGTAAATAAAGAATCTATTGCGTGAGGGATCAGTTTTTTATTGTACCCTTACAGTCATCTCTTAAATTTTTCAGATATTCAAATAGGTAGAATATGTATTTGTATTTTTGTGGCGATAAAAAGTGTAGAGATTAAGCTCTAGGACTTTGCTGCTTTGGTAGTAAAGTTGTGAGATAAGGGAAAAAATTTTTTCCAATGTTAAATTTTTTTTGAGTTTTAAATCTTTAAGGCCTAAAAGACAGCCCTTTCCGTAGATTATACGGGAGAAACTGCCAATCAACTTATTTTGTGGCAGGAACGCACGGTATTTTTCAGCATTGTTACATTTTTTTTACTTTCGACCAAATAAACTGTATGGATTACGAACAAATATGTCTTTAATAAGAAAATATTTTTTCTGAAAAGTGTCAGGAACAGATGTAAAATTTTTAATTGAAAATTTTTCACATTACATGTCAACACACTACGGTGTTTTATTTAGTGAGTCTTAGACGTAGCCGAGACGGGGGGGGGGGGGCGATAGTCACGAATATTTCAATGAATCATGAGCAATCAGACGTTCGTTTTTCACGTGTCCAATCTTACACTATATTATTACATAGTTGATATTTAACCAACAGATTGTAGATGTTAAATATTGTCAAAAATTTATATCCAACGACATTTCTTTTTTTTTTTTCATTTTGTTAAAGAAGAGAACGCCAAAAAAATGTAGCCAAAAAATGACTATATACCACGGATATCGGTGGAGTGACCCTACACTCGTGGGGTTACGTATCATGGGCATAGTCACATACTTACCTACGTATACTTTTTTTTATCTATCGTTGTCTGTATTATTTTGGGGTTTACTCTTAGATACTTAGTTTAAAATTTTTTACTTGAAAAATATCTATCAAAAATTTTTGTAAAAAATTTAATAACGATGATGAAAACGTTGTTCAAAAATTAATTTTGATTAAATTTGGAAAAAAATTAGCATAAGTCGTTAAGGTATTTATTCACATAACATTTTTAATAATTATGTTAATTATCACTAAGGTTTTCTAGAATTATTTAATTCTCAATTGATCACTTCACATACAAAACATCAAGTTTTATTCATCTCCGTGTTTTCTTCTTTTTACACATCATTTTAAATTGCTATGAATTATAATCGCTTGAAATATGTATTTGAGTGCAAAACTATCAGTATGAGCACATTTCTATTTTTCTTAGACATTATTACTAACACTATTTTTCGAATCGTGATCTTCTGCAATTACTCTATTTTGTATGAGCCACACATAAGTTTAGGTCTACTTTCATTTTTTAACCTTTTTTAGACGTTTCTGATATGTCAGTATGCATGTACCCATTTCTACAATACTTTTTTTAGTACATTCCATTTTTTTATTGACAAAAACTTACAATACTTGTTAACTTAAACATGGTACATAGTATTATATATAATAACAAACTGCTGTGGCATTAATTTTGTTACGAATAACTACGGCTTTTTCTAATTATAATGTTTTTTAAATGTAAAATTGCAACTTCATGTAAGTGTACGGTAAATTATAAAATGTCTATAACGCCAGTAAAAGGATAAAAAGATAAAATTTATTTCGTATATGTATTTTAGCATAACAGTTTTATATTAATTTATTTCATAAGTCATTATGTAGATTATACGTTCAATTTTTACGAAAATGACTTACTTTAAGAGCTCAGAGATCTAGAATGTATGATCTTATCTATCGTTCAAGGTGCAAGAAATTTTTGGTAATTAAAAAAAAAAGAAACAAAAATTATATACGTATAAGTAATTTTAATTAAAAAATATAATTTATTTTTGAGACATCAATACTATTAAGAAATACTTCTTTTCTAAAAACGTTTTTTCTAAGTTCTTATGAAACATAATTTTTACTGAGATTTCTTTTAATTTTACAGTTACTAGAGAACTATCATTTAATTAGTTAAAATCTATGTGCTTACTTCAGCAAGTAATCTTTCATAAAATTATAATTCATCTGTTGAGTTAAAAAAAATATTAAAAATTCTCACCACCGACTCTGTGCAAAACAGTAACACGTGATGATCAAAATGATTAATTTTAATATTTGAGATTCATCCATACAATTGTAAACCCCTCTGACTCACTTATTTTTTTTTTAGCACTTTCATGCAGTATGAATACATTTAATACCCCTCGAAGCTCTCACTTCTGCGGTGTCATGCATGGCACAATCGTTTGTTTTTTATCATTTGTGTCTTTAATACTACTATCAAGTAGTAGATAACTGGATATTTTACACTAAGTAGAAATTTTATGTTGTTTCATAAGTTGTATAAACAGAGATATTGCTTAAAAAATTATTTTAAAGTTTGAGAAATTCCAAAAAGATGTGAAGATTGTATGATTTTTAAATACTCTAGCTTAGTACAGAGCTTAATTTTTTATATTTGGGTAAAAAAAGAATGAAAAATAAAGCAATTGTGCAGTAATTCTACGTTATACATTAAATAAGATACAGTTAAAAAATTTTCAAGCCACTTTTTTTCTTGCTACAGCAAACTTTGCGGTTTTAAGACACAAATAACATATTCTTTTTATTTTGATGTAGTACTATAGTACTTTTTGTTGTACAATATTTTGAGCAAAAAGATTTTTTTGTACTTCTCAAGGTGAAAAAACAAATTTATCAAATAAACAAAAAAAATTAATGAGACTTACGGTACATCATCATCTTCGTCAATGGGTTCACTTTCAGCTTGAATGCTTTCCATGGCTGTGCTATGAGCAACTAACCTCTGCCGATTGATACTACGTGATCTATTGAGAGAAACCATGCCATCTCTAATTTCTCTCTCTTTATTCCAATCACCACTATGAGCGCCAGTTTCTCCAATTTCTTCTTTACCACTTGTTGACAATCTATATTCCTATCGTCAGCGAGAAACAGAGAGATAATTGAGTTTCAAAATAATTGCATATCAAAGTTTAAAAAAATTTGCTTACAGCTTTCTCTTTCGTGGCTAGATCAAGGTTATGAATTCCAAGCAATAATGAGTAATCCATGATTTTAAAACTTTCCAAAACTCTGCAATCTCGCTGAATAGTTTTTATAAGTGCAGTATGTGTGTCTAATTCTAAGAAAATACCTTCCGGGTGATGTTCCATAAAATCTAAATCTTTGTATGTTGGTGAATGCTTTTCTTTCTCAACTTTAGATGCCTAGATAATTAATAGAAGTATTTTGAATATGAAATGTAACAACATACACAAATAACTCAGAGAAAAGTATACTTTTCTTTTGTATGTTGATCCTTTCAGGTCATATTTTTGATGAAGTTTGACAAATGACGGTAGCAGATTATTCATAACAACAAGACGGACATTTTTACTATTACACTGATAACAATACAGTCCAAAGAATTTTGGTAGCAAGGTTCTAGGATTTTGGTTAAGATTCTAAGATTACAAAAATATTTACTGATGAGAAGTAATAATTAGTAATTTCAGACTAAAATGAATGATAGGCACACAATAAGTTACCAAGTAATAACCAGCTAGTAATTTTTGTAAAAATTCTCCTTCCTTGTGCTGAACTGTTTTAACAATAAATTCATCATTATCTGTTAAATAAAAAATGCTACCACTAGCACCAGGATTGGATAGTTCACGTAAAGGTGCACTGCACATTGACATCTGTAATTTTCAATTAATATATTACGTGGGTAAACACAATTCGCTATAAGCAAGGTCGGTAATACTCTTATTTCACGAAAACAGTCGTTATTAGCCATAACACAGGGCGTTTCCATAAAATAAAAAGTTACAGTTATGTTCAGTGCCTATTCAACAACTTGCATACAGCGAAAGTTTATTACTTAATGTAAATTATTTGTCTCTAAGCTAACCAAAAAGTCGTCTGGTTGGATTCCAAACAGGTCTCGAAAGTAACGAAATGCAATAGGCGCATAGTTTTTGAACTTAAATTCTGAATAGTGATGCGCAGGCGTATGATTTGATCCAATGCTTGGAAAATTTGTCGTTTCCACTGTCATAAAATCTTGCATTAACAGATCTCTTTCAGGCTTGCTTGCGAGACCGCCGATTGCAAGTTGAATACCCAATTGAATGGATCCCATGATTTGTGTCGTTTGGATCTATACGTTAACATAACAAAAAGCCATTACTAGTATTCTTCACGATAAATTTGTTCAATAAACTTTCTAGAAAGTTGTGATAAGATTTTGTTAAATTTTAAACTTATTATGTTACTACAATACTAAGTTTTCAAAAAACACTAACCACTGAAAAAAAAAAAATTAAAAACAAATGTCTTTTGCGTTCTTTTGTGTAATTTTTAATGTAATTCTCATTTTTCCGCTTACTTGATTTATAGTTTTTAACATGTTTTTAATAACTTTCATCGATAGGTTTTTGATTCCTTTTCTTACCCTGTTTGTTAATAATGTTCATTCATTCTTATAAGCATTATATCAATCGTTATAAATAATGATGCGTGTTTGAACAATAGAGGCAAAGAAAGAGGGACAGAAATTATTGTAAAATCATCACCAAGTCTAAAGTATTTTTAAAGCGATACAAAGTAAGATGTTCAAATGCGAATGCACGTGTGCACACGCCTGCATGTACCTGCACATACCTTTTTGTAAGTGATTTCCCCCCCCACTCCCACTCTTCGATGTCCAATTTTTCTTTCTTTCTCGAACTTTTGCCTGGAAACATTTGCACATGCTTTGGCTTCTGTTGTTTCATGTTGTATTGCTGAGCTCTATGACAAAAAATAGACATACAGTTATATACATTTGTAAATAATAATTTCAATTTAAAAGTCATTATAACAGTAGAGAAAGTATTTATGTATTCATAGCTTTTCGTTTCATAGAAAATACAGCATACAGTAAGAACTTTATTTAATTCAAAGCTACGCAATAAAAACAACTTGGTTAAATCAATCAATTACACATATTGTCTTAAAAACACTTCATATCTTTAGACTACATAGCATAACTTTCTGATGTTACTTAGATGCCATTATTAACCGTATGACGATGAACCGTTATGATTTTTGTAAAAAACCTTAGTTGTACCTCTAAGACAAAAAGATTCCTCCAATTATTTTTTAATTATTAGTTATTATTCTGTCGTATGATAGTATAGAGATTATTTATTGAAAAGAGAACAGATTTTACCATACTATCATTTATAATACGTCAAATTTCTTTATCACAAAAATAAGATACTTTCTTTTTCTATTGGGTGGCTCGTTCTCAAAGGTTGTACATGTAGACAGGGCACCAGACGCCAAATAATTGCCAAAAGTCGAAATTTTTTCTGTTTTTTCCATATTAATGATTTTGGTCTTAAAATTTGTTAGAAAATACACAAAATATTATTATATAGTCTTGACATTGTGTGAGGTCAAAAACATGGTTTTTAAATGCACATTAAAATTTTTTAATTTTTTTTAGTGAGTATTAAATACCTCGAAAAGTTGTTTAGGCAATGATTTTACATACGTATAAGGACTCAAGAAAGATTATAAATTTTTTTTATTGTTTAACCAAGCGATGAAGACAAAAAAAGCTAAAAAATGAATATGTCACAAAATAGTAGTTGAAAAAAATAAAACTGAATGACAATATTTGTGATCCATCAAAAATTTAAATTTTTAAACAAATAAATAAAATAGTTATTTAAAAAAATCCTATTTTCATCAATATCTATTTCAGTGATCTGAAAATAAGTGTATTAGATGGTGCTAATTTTTTTATGAATTCAAAGAAGAAAGTTCATTCTATGACCACCAGAAGCAGAGATACGCTATTTTCACTTTATTTCTTGTAGGCTGTTCTATTTAGTTTTTTGACATCGTACCGTGCTCAGTGTCTTTTACAATATTAAATAAAGATTAGGAGTTTTTTCCTTGTTCAATGAGAGCGTCCGTCTTGTCACACATGAATAATAAAGTTAGTGCACTTCGGCGCGCAGCAGCCCACCACAAGCAGAACACGCCAACGGCACCTGAAGCGGCTCGAAGCAGCACAAAAAGCGTTGAAGTATTTGTGCGCTTTGCCACCAGAGATTTTAAGATATTTAATTCATTACTCAGTAATAAAATAGTGTATGAAAGTGTGCGAAAATGTATTTCTACATTATTTTTCCATGTAATTGCTTTATGGTGCAACTTATTTGTTTGTATCTCCTTTCTTACCTGTAGAAAAATGCATGGACTCAGGAAATGAAAAGGAAAAACAATCTATTAACACGTGTTTGATGTAATTTTTTCTTCTATTTTGATGCTAATTACGATGCACTCCTACATTGATACGATAAAATAAATAGTACCAGTGAATTAAGAAGGAAGAATTACACAAAATTTGTAATGGCAAATCGTTTATCCATGTTATTCACTAAATATCTGCACACACGCATACTTTGACGCTCTTTGTGCGGCTTCGAGCCGCTTCCGGCACACCGTCACCACACTCAGCTTGTGGCAGGCTGCCACTCGTCAAAGTGCACTAACTTTATTATTGATTTATGACGAGACAATTGCTTCAATTGACACCAAAAAAATTCTTAATGTTTAGTTAACATTGGAAAAGACGCTGGGCGCAGTACAAAGTCAAAAAAGTGAATAAAACGATCGCTACGAGCAAAAAGTAAGAATAGAGTATCGTGGTTATCGTTGGTTGTAGAATAAATTTTACTTCTTTATTTTTTTAGTTCGTGAGAAAATCAGAGCAATTGAATTCCATTACTCTTATATCGCTAAAATTATTGCAAAATAAGGTTTAGATTGGACGAAGAATTTTATTTTGCATTAATTAAAAATGTTTTCAACCTTGTTTAACATAACACTAAGACTTTAGAATGATATTCTGTGTGCTTTTATTTTTTTATTTATTTATTTATTTATTTTTTTTTTTTTCAAATTTTAAGACTAAATTAGTTAATATTGAAAAGACTTCAACTCTCACTACCTCTGTCCCTCTGACTAATACAAAAGGTTTTACGTTTTTTTTATCGGCAATAAAATATTTGTATAAAACGTAGAACTTAAGAGGAAGTCAAAAGGTTTCGAAATAATTCATTTTGATTATACTTAACATAGTGCATACTAGTACATAATCATTGTTAAATATTTAAAAATTACTCTTCGTGTAATAAAATTTGAGTTTGGTGAAAAAATGTTACAAAATTCAGTTTTTTATAATGCGTGAAAAACATTTAGATGGTAACATCCTTAAACATTATGAAACCATTATATTTTTATAAGGTTCAAGCACTCTGTGTTAGGAATGACTGTCAAAAAGTTTTTTTAACTTAAATTTAATGGCCAGTTTGAATTATTTCCACATAAATACCTTTAATATTAACGGAAAAGTATAACAGCCAAATGTGAAGTGCTTGTTTTATATTGAAGTGAATAAAAATACAAGAATGTCCATATTTCTATGCCTATGGCCATTTGAATGGACATAGCCTTGACTCTCATAGAGTAAGACATTTCTTAATTCCCATAATACAGAAAGAAAACTATCGCTTATAGTTTTAAGGCATGGAAACATTCAGAATGCAAAATAATTTTTTTAGTAGAGTGGCAAAACAAACTTTTTTCTTCAGCCGTGACTCCTTACTATTTTTCTTACAATTCACTACGTGTTTATGTTTAAATACGTTATTCTTAAATTCATACATAAATATTTCTAGTTATTTGATCATTAATTTTGTACTAGAAATCTAAATACCGATAAGGTGTCGTACCCAAATACTGTGGACAGTTTTAGGGGAAAGGGGGTGTAGTTGAATCATAAGGATGTTTACGTTGGGGGAGAGGGAGGGGCAGTTAGTGAGTTTATGTGTAACAAAAGACTCTGATTTATTTTAAAATATTACCTTTAAATTATATTTACCTAATAGTTGAAGTACAAAAATTTTGTATTTCATTTAAAGTCACTTCTTTTGAAATCCCACTATGACTTTTGTTGATGAAGGTATTCTTCGACAACACTGCTAAATGTGCTTATGTTTATATTCATACTTATCATAACTAACGTTGCTTCATTAACTGTTATGCTTCGTTTTTAAAAATTTCCATTGTAACATAATGAAAACTTATAATGTTTCAAAGTTTAACAGTAACTGATCAAAAGATATATTATTTTAAAATTTTTTTCGAAAATGTAGAAAAAAAAGTAAGTCAATGAAACTTTGGAGAGGGGGGTTTAATTCTGATTTACACCAAGCTTACACAGGAGAGGGGGGTCAAAAAATCGAAAAAATTGTCCACGGAATTTGATAACAACCCCTTAGGAGATGCTTAGAAGCACTTACTACCTTTTGTTTCTTTTTCTTAAACAATAAAACATTAAGTTAAATACTTCAATACAATTTATAAATCTGATAATTCGACAAAAAATGTTAATTTAAGAGCTAGAAAATATTATTCACTTTGATGAAACTGTGCACAGTAGTGTACGAAAATTTTTCATAAATGTTTTATGTAATCAACTTTTAACACTGTTAAAAAAACTGAACTAAGTTTACAGACTAGACAAATATACAATTGAAACTTATACTGAAAAATTTGTGAATTATAAGATTTCTGTCAATTATTATGAATACTATGATTTGAACTATATTGAGCAAACCATCAGAAAGTAGTAATGCGAAAAAAGAACTACATAAGAAATATTAAAAACGACAACGATAATTATGTCTTGCATGAGCGTTAGATCAGAGTACTCGTATGATTTCGACAGAAATTTTGTTCTTGTTTAAGTTAGAATTTTTTGAAAGAAAAATCGATAAAGCAAACAATTTTTTTAGCTAAAAATAGGACAGCCATTTTTTTTTCTTTTACATACAAAAATTTGGATTTTAATTCGTACTCAATATAAAATTTTCAATGTTAATTATTAAGAACTAACATAATGATTACGAAGTTTAATTTTATTATACTTCCAACATTTAACCCAATCCATTCTAACATGTAATAAAACTTGCTAGTGGTTAACAGCCACTCTGTTACAAGCACATCTCTATGCTTGTAGCACTTTCATGTTCGTATTACTCCTATGCTTATAGTGGCATTACCCATCCATTGCCTCACAAACATACAGATCGAAGATCTTAAGTCAAGTCTACCACCCTCCACCGTCACAGTTACTAGGCCATCCTACCTACGTAAGTACAAACACACCCCCTCCGTCATCTGTGTTCGTCTAAGCTCTGTGTTCATTGCACCTTTGTACTCGCCTTACCTCTTTAAAAATATATCTCTGCTGTCCCCTTTATTTTCTTCAACATATTTAATCTCACTTTAATTCTCTCCACTTTTTCCTCTCCTTATTTCCACTTTTCCTTTCTACCACTTTTGCTTATTTACCCACTACCGTGTCAACACAAGGCAGTGGTAAGAGGGCTAGAAGGCTCAGTCAGTGTTTAAAATGTTAAACAGACACGTCTATCCTAAACAGTGTCCAGCAACTAATAAAACTCTATCTTTTACTTATCTCTCTTAAGTATCCCCATTCCTTACTCTCATTATGCCTCGTTATGATACAGACACGAGGCCACCCCCGCCTTGTGGACAGAAAGCCACCTCATACTCTAATTCGGATCCCTGCCTTACTCCAGATCATTAGATTTGAATGCTAAGCAGATAAATTTTGAGATAAAGAACATTATTCTGAAATAAGGATGTTAACAGTTAATA